GCCAAACACCTCCACACTTTAAAATAATTCAAGTTGGGCTTCCTTCCTTTCCATTTTTCATATGGAATGGATTGTGTTTTGCTATGGGGTACTCGATTTAGTATTCGGCTAGCCGTAAGAACGGCTTCCCCTCAGAAGTTCTGTGGTGTGACGACCTGACCCGTCGTCTCATCATTTACCGCTCCGTTTTCCCCATTTCAGCTTCTATATGCTTCATTATCCGTGTCTTATGTGATCAAGTTGGTTTGGAGTGGTTTTGGTAGGAAATGAGACACACCATCTCTTTAAGGAAGGCTTAGTTTGGAAAAGTCAACCGGATGTTGACTTATGGGTTAGAGGACTCTGATGTGAATTTCGATGGTTCGGTTAGCTTCGGGGGATGATTTGTGACTTAGGAATGTGATCAGAAGTGGTTTTGGAGGTCCGGTGTAGAATTAGGCTTGAATTGGCGAAGTTAGTATTTTGACGATTTCCGGTTGGTAGGCGAGAATTTGATCCGAGGGTCGGAATGAAATTTCGAGAGTTGCATTACCTTTGTTATGTCATTTGGGATGTGTGTGCAAAATTTTAGGTCATTCAGATGTTGTTTGGTCGGGTTTTTTATCGAAAGTGTATTTCGGAAGTTCTTGGAAAACTTAGGCTTGAATTCGATGAGTTTTGAGTATTTGACGTTGTTTGAGGTATTTTGATGATTGGAACAAGCTTGAATGACGTTATGGGATATGTTGGCATGCTTGGTTGAGGTCCCGAGAGCCTCGGGTGAGTTTCGGGTGATTAAACGGACCTTTTCGGACTTGGAGAATTGCAGAAATTTCTGCTGGTTTCAGTTCAGGTGTTCATTTATGCGATCGCATAGGGCTATTTGGGGCAGCATGATTTTGTTCTACGTGATCCCGTATAAGGGATTGCGATTGCATAGGCTTGTGTGGTGTGTCTTCGCGATCGCGTGAGTGTGTGTGCGATCGCAGTGAGTTAAAGGGGCAGTGCATCGCGTTCGCAGGGTGTTCATTGCAATCACATAGAGTAATTATGCGTGAGCTGAGTTTTGTGCATCGCGATCGCATGGTTTTATCTGCGATCGCATAGAAGGAATTACTGTAGCTGGGCAGAAGGTTTTACACATTTTATTCCGTGAGCTTAAGTCATTTTTCCTCCATTGTTGAACATTTTGAGAGCTCTTTGGGAGGAATTGAAGAGGGATTCGAAAAGGATTGATTGCAGGTAAGTTTTATGAACCAAAAACATGATTATATTGTGAAATTAACCTAGAAACTCATGGAAATTTAGCTAAAAAGGGAAGAACTAGGGCTTGGGATTTTGAAATTTTAAATCGGGATTTGAAGGGCCATTTGAGGTCGGATTTGGAAGTTTTTGATATGTATGGACTCGTGGCGAGATAAGGAACCCGTTGATGTGAAAATTTCTGAGTTTCGACAAGTGAGACCGGGGCTCGGGTTTTGCTAATTTTGAGATTTTGATATATTTTTGATTGTTTTCGCTTGGGCTTTGTTCCCTTAGAATATTGTGATGTATTTGCTCTGGTTTTGGTCAGATTCGACGCGCGAGGAGGCCGATTTGAGAGGCAAGGGCATAGAGAGCTAGAGCTTTGGCCGGTTTGAGGTGAGTAATGATTGTAAATGGTGTCCTAAGGGTTTGAAACCCCGAATTTGCACAACGTAGTGCTATGTTGAGGTGAGACACACGTTGTTTGATGAGCGTGGGGTCCATTACTACTGGGGAATGTGACTTGGTCCATCCCGATTGATGATTTCACCGTATTTTTGACTGAGATTTAATTATTATCATTATGATTTAAGCTAGCTGCCATGTTTGGGGCCTTGTGCCGACTTGTAGAAACCTTAGGGGCATTATGACTGATTTTTCCTCACTTTACTTATTAAAAATCACATCCTCAGTCATGTTTTTATTTGTTTAAAACAATGTGAACCGGTTTTATCAATGCTAATCCTAAATGAGGGAAATATGTGTGCTGAGATCCCTACCTTATATAATTGTGCCCTAAAATGACTGAGAGGGGTTGAGAACCCAACAGTGAGGATGTGGTATATGTTATGGATCGGGCTGCATGCCGCAGCAAATACTTATATGGATCGGGTTGCACGCCGCAGCAAATGTTTATGTGGATTGGGTTGCGCGCCGCAACAATATAGCGCTTGGGCTGTAGGAGCCCCTCCCGGAGTCTGCACACCCCCAGGAACGGATTTATACTTGTTAAATACCTGATAAGCTACCTGTTTTACCTGATCTAAAGAAATTTCACTTGATTTATTCACTTGATCTAAAGCAATATAGCGCTTGGGCTGTAGGAGCCCCTTCCGGAGTCTGCACACCCCCAGTAAGTGCAGTCGACTATTTATATGGATCGGGCTGTGCGCCACAGCGATGTACGGATCGGGCTGCACGCCGCCGCGGTTATTTTAATTTCGGTTATTGTGAGAAATATATGGTTACTGTGTACGAGGAACGGATTTACACTTGTTAAATACCTTATAAGCTACCTGTTTTACCTGATCTAAAGAAATTTCACTTGATTTATTCACTATTTTGCTGCTTTGAGTTGATTTACTTCTTTGATATAGAACTGCTTAGTGCCTTTACGTGTTTTCTTACTGTCAGCCATTATTTATGATTATTACTCACTGGGTCGGAGTACTCACATTACTCCCTGCACCTTGTGTGCACATCCAGGTGTTCCCGAGGCATAGAGAGAGTTTTCCTGTTGTTCATCATTCACCGGAGTCATCGAGGTAGCTGCATGACGTCAGCAGGCCCGATTTCTCCTTCTATCTTCTTTATTTTCAGTATTCTTAGACTATCTCTGTTTTAGGCTGTTTACAGACTTGTAATATCGGCTCTTGACTTGTGATACCGGATCGGTGGGCTATGTAGTGGTGTTTTTATGATTTTCGCACATTTTTATCTACTATTTCAGACTTCTATTTATGTTAATTGGTATTTAAACTCTATAATAGAAGGATTGTGATTGATAATTGGTCGGGCTTGCCTAGCAATATGTTGGGCGCCATCACGACCGGGGTTGGGGTCGTGACATGTGGCAAACCAAAACTTATCAATAATGCGTTCATCATCTCCTTTAATGAATGATTCTTTTTTTTTCTGCAATCCCATTGGATTGGGGCGTGTAAGGGGCCGTTGTTTGATGAATAATTTCATATTCTAATGAAGGAGTTAGGATTAATAGTGAAGGAGCCAGTAATACTGCATTGTGACAGCAAAGCAACTATGCAAATAACATCTAATCCAGTTTATCATGAGTGAAAAAAGCATATAGAGATTGACTGTCATTTTGTGGGAGAAAAAAAATTAAAGATGGTCTGATCACACCTCAGTACATTTCCACTAAAGAAGAGCTCGTAGATCTGATGACCAAAGGACTGGGAGCTGAGCAGCATAGAGTCCTAATCTCCAAGCTAGGATTGTTCAATGTCTTTCACGGTTTCACCCTCCAGCTTGAAGGGGAGCGTGAAAATAACAAGTTAGTTGTTAGGTTGTTATTAGGACTGAAGTGTAAATAGAAAAACTAAGAGGTGCAGAAAGAAATATAACCAACTTAGTCTATAAACTAAGTTCGTTATTACTGTACCAACCGAAAAATATGAGCTTCAACTCATTCCTTCTCTCTTCTTCTTCTCTCTAAACTCTGTACTCCGAATCTGAGTGTATGTTGCATGTGTGAATCGAGTAAATGTTTGCTCGATTAGAGCAAATTGACAAAAATAATGGAGTATGTCATATATAGTACAGGTTTTCAAAAATATCTAAAAAATCAAAGATATTTATATAGCTGGTCATATTCTTTATTTTCTTTTTCTAGCCATATACATAGATTATACAATGATTTCACATAATTATACATATACAGTACATAAATTATGGATATATTATATCTCTACCGTCTATTTTTAGTTTAGGTGGTTGAGTCGACGGCTATTTGAGTTAATTCTCTAAAAATGAGCAAGTATAAGACTTTCTAAATTTAACACCAAACGCTATCAAAGACATATTTATCTTAAGTTGGTCTGACTCGACTTCTTGGTTTGGTTGGAAAGAGTTTATTTTCAGTTTCTTTAGAACAAACTAGCTAGGTGCAATGGAACAAAGCATTATATATAATGACTGAGAGAGGCCGAGGGCCTGGTTGTGAGGATTATATACCTATGGATCGGGCTGCACGCCGCAGCAATATCAATATATATATATATATATATATATATATATATATATATATGTCTAAAAAATTGCTTCAAAGCACTTGCAACCTCTGAAGAGACATAGTATATCCAGAGAGAAATGCCTCTTCACCAAAAAGTAACTTAAACAATTGCCAACATTTTGTTTTAAAAGCTCAGATTAGGTGAAAGTTAATCACTATGCTTGTCAACTAGCTAACTCAATCAATGAGAATCTTCTACTAATTAATCCGGCAGATGCACTTTTGTTTTTTCAATTGAATTCGATATTCTGTTATATGGATGGATATATACACAACAACAACAACATATTCAGTATAATCTCACAAATGGGGTCTAGGAAGGGTAGTGTGTACGCAAACCTTACTCCTACCTGGCGAAGTAGAGAGGCTGTTTCCAATAGACCCTCGGCTCAAGAAAATGTGAAAAGAGAGAAAGGAAGAAGACGAAGAAGAAAGAGGAAAAAGAAAAAAAGAATAGGGGGATAAAGGACGATAAGGAAAAAGGAAAAAAGACAACTATAGTAACAACAACAACAACAACAACAATGAAACAACAAGTAAAAGAAATAAATAGCATCAACTAGTAACTAATTGGAAAATACGATACACAGAACAAACGAAAAAAACAAGGGAGCTACTAATATTACTAAAAAAGAACGGGGAACTCTCGACTACCTACTAGCCAACTACCCTAATCTTCGATCTCCACACCCTTCTACCTGGGTGATGTCCTCAGTGAGCTGAAGTAGCGCCATATCCTGCCTAATCACCTCTCCCCAATACTTATTCGGCTTCTTCTACCCCCTCTCTGCCTCGCCACAGCCAGCCTTTCACACCTCCTAACAGGAGCATCCGTACTCCTCCTCTGCACGTGCCCCAACAATCTTAGTCTCAACTCCCGCATCTTGTCCTCCACGGAGGCCACTCCCACTTTGTCCCGAATAACTTCGTTCCTATTCTTATCTCTCCTGGTATGCCCAAACATCCATCTCGGCATCCTCATTTCTACTACTTTCATCCTCTGAACATGGGAGTTCATGATTGGCGAACACTCAGGCCCATATAATATAGCATGTCTAACCACCACCCTGTAGAACTTACCCTTAAGTCTTGGTGGCTCCTTCTTATTATACAAAACACCGGATGCGAGCCTCCATTTCATCCACCCCGTACCGATACGGTGGGAGACCTCATCATCAATATCCCCGTTACCTATAGACCGAGATACTTGAAACTATCCCTCCTCAGAATGACTTGGCTATCAAGCTTCACATCCACGCCCGCTTCATGAGTCTCGTCACTGAACTTACACTCCAAGTATTCCATTTTTGTCCTGCTCAGCTTGAAATCATTAGACTATAGGGTCCTCTAGACCTCCGGTCTCGCATTGACCCGGCTTCTCGTCTCATCAATCAGCACTATGGATGGATATATATGTGAAATATTATTTAAATTTTAACAAATAACAATATTAAATTCTCAATCCATAATTGTAGAAGTATATAAAGATTGAACTTTTCCAATTTAAATTCTTAATCTATCTCAGCCCGTGATATTTCACCTGTCCTAAAACACATACCTAACAACCAATTCCATTATTTAACGTTGTGTACAACTAATTTTTCTAATCAAAAAGCCCTTTTGTTTTTCGTCCTAGTAATGCTACGTTGGTTTATTATATCACGCTATTTTATTGCCAACATGATAGATGGATAAGGTTGTCAAATGTCAAGGGTCTCCCTCATAAAATGAAACTTGAAATCAAACACAATCTAGCTTCCAAACTTGTCCTTGACACTCCTATATTATTTGAGAGAGAAAAAGAAAAGAAAAAAATACAATGGTTGTTCCATGTCATTATTGCTATAAGTATTATTTTATATTCCCTCGTCTCTTGGGAGTTCCAAAAGCCAAATTTAGCTAAAGATTTCTTTGTTTTCTAAATATCATAGGCTGTTTCTTGGAACCTATATATAGAACAGGTACTACGTTGGACCAAAGAGAAACCAAAGACGCGGAAAATAGAAAGAGGAGAAAAACAAACAGAGACGAATATACATTTTCGACAATAAATATGGTGATTCAAAGGTTGGAAATGTGCATAGGAATGGTGAAATTGGTGTTTGAGTTTGCTGTGGTGTTTGTAGAGGCAGTTGGTACTGTTATCTCACAAAACAACTCTTCTTCGTTGTCAACACATGATTCCTCGGCCAACCGAGACTACGTTGCTACAACGCCTTACATCGGCCTTCTTCCATAAATTGTTTATTTTTTCATTTCGGATATTCAGTATTCGAAACTTACTCGTCCGACTTATTCCAATCTCATAGACGTTGTCTTTGTGAATTCCCGAAGAAACCAAGTGGAGAAGGAAAGAATACAGGCAAGGAACATATGAACTGCAGTTTAGCTTTTTTCTCATCATGAGGCTTTGTAAAATGTAAAATCAGCTTCAGAAAAGCTTTCTTGGTCTAGAGTTTAGTTTTTTTTTTTTTTTTTTCCTTTTCTATGTTGTAATTTTTGGTCAATTAGTTTTGCTTAATGTGATTTGTCGTGAGCTTATTAATATTGGCAGCTTTGACGTCTGCTCATTCCTACCAGCTTCTGAAATCATCCAAAAGTTTTGTCTTTATACATATTTATCCACTAGTTTTAGGGTACGCGCTTTGCACGTGTACCTATATTAATAAATATATAAATTTTAAAAATTACATAAATATTATTAAATAATATATTTTTCGTTATTGGACAAATATTAAAGAATAAAATGAAAGTTCCTAAAATAGAATGCTAATTTCACTAAGCTAGCTCAATAAAATAAAGAAATCCTACTCCACATAAGTTTTTATATGCCCTTTTTATGATTTATGAGGCGTGAAATATCTTATAAAAATTATTGTTATTTTTGTTAGCAAATACTATAAGAAAATAACACAAAAATACTTTCACCATAATTATTCAAAGATAACAAAACAAATTGAAGAATTTGAATCTTTTGGTATTTTAGAAAATTGTGAGGGTGAGGTAGAACTCCTCATAGAATAATAATAATAACTAACAATAAAAGTTGTAAGTAACTAATATTGAATTACAAAAATATATGATACTATATTAAAAATTATAGGGAATTCTCATTTATTGAAATGAATATAAAAAGAAAAAAAATGATGACGACACTTCTTTTGAATACCTTTGGTCTTATATTACATCCTTAATGGCAATTTAATTTTTAATACTATATTATAATAGATTTTACTCTATTCTTATTTCTTTCACGGCCGATGCTTTTTAGTGAAAATAAATTTATGTACCTTAAAAGTTTTATACACTTGACAGATAATTTTACTTACATAATGATTTTGAAAAATATTGAATTGAATTTTTTTTTTTTGCTAATTTATTAATTCAAAGACTTAATTATTTATTGAGATTTCATGCTTTTAAGACAGTAAAGAAGATGCGATTATTTTCGAACTTTTTTCCTACTCGAATAATGTATTATTTCTTTATCGATTTTGTATAATATTTATATAATGTCGTTTGCTTTTTTACCCTTTAAAATATGTTTTATATTGGACAAAGTAATTTTGTTTAACTTCCTAATATTTAGGATTTCTAAATCAACTAAAAGTTTATTTATTATATATGTTTACTTATTTGAATTCTGTAGAAAACAACTTTAAAATTAATTAAAATTTTACCTTATATAAATTATTTAAGTTAATTATGACTCAACCATAACTATACTTTTTTTAATATTTAGGAAAAACCGGAATAGAATAGGTGGATTATTTCCATAAATCTACGTTACCAATTCTCCTTTCCACTAAGAGTATTTTAATTTGTTTGGCCATAATCACATAGCTTGTATATTTTTTTTCCGGGGAAAACAAAGCATGCATAATCAAACCCAACAGTCAATGGTAGAAAACCAGATAAAGCCTCGTTGACAATCCAAACAGGAAAGTTGTCAAACCAAAAGACTTCACTAAGTAGTGAGAAAGAAAATTTAGCAAACTGATGACTACAAGTATTGAACCCTCTACTTAGATACTTAAAAGATACATCACTTAGATGTTGCTGAAGTGCCCAAATATCTTCACAAACAGTATTAACCTCCCATGAAGGACCTCTGCTTCCCTTAAGCATTTGTACCATTGTTAAGGAATCAGACAAGATATGTATATTCTTCCATCCATATTTCACCGCCAGTTGAACTGCTTTTCTTATTGTCAACGCTTCAGCTATTATGGCTTTTCCAACAAAATGAATTGGACTAACATAGGCATAAAGCACGTCACCATTAGCCTTTAAGGCTACCATTCCAATACTCGCTTTGCGAGTATTTGGATCCAGACCTGCAGATCCAGACCTGCATCTACATAAAGCAACACTTTTTCTGAAGAAAGAGTTAGTAATGGTGGGTTAGTAGAAGCATCTCTTATAGTGTTAACATCTTCCTTTGCAACTGTAAATTTATTAAAATCAAACAATGGTTTAGATAAAACATCATTTTCACTCCATATGACCGAATTAAAAATATAATCATTCCTAGCCTTCCAAATCATTAATAAAATAGACACTGCTAGTTGCAATAAGGTATTAATTTTCGAGAATCTTTTAGTGTGTAACACTAACTTATACCACTATGTAGCAAAATCAGAGATCAGATGCAAATTTGACCACGACTCGGACTCATTTTCCACACCATAATTGATCTAGGACATTTAAAGAACATGTTCTCTAAAGTTTAGGTTCCATCCCACAAATAGAATAGACGTCATCCATAGAGTGAATTCTTTTTTTAATAATATTCTTAACAGACAATGTATTTAAGACACACTTTCTTAAGAAATGTTTGAGCTTATTTTTAATATTTAAGGACCATAAATGGTTCCAAAAGGATTTCGGGAACACATGAGAACTACTTTCCGCATGATTAGCCAAACTTCTATCTTTGTGAGTGTCACGACCCTAAACCCAGATCCGGTCGTGATGGTGCCTCTCGTGAACACATGGTCAGCCGACACATTTCCAATTCAACGTTAAACACTAAACAACAATACAACAGAATAAAACATGATTTAATAATACTAAACAGCGGATAATATCATAACAAGGCGGAAGTACAACCCAAACACAGCCCAAACCGGGGTGTCACTAGTCATGAGTATCTACTAACTCTAAATACAACTGACAAAGTCCGAAATGTACTAAGTACGAACTAATAAAATAAGGAGGGAGAAAAGCAGTGCTGCGAACGCCAGCAGCTACCTTGCTAAACTCCGATAACTCTGCCTCCGATCAGCCAAAACCCGCTACCGGGTGTAGAATACCTGAATCTGCACATATGGTGCAGGGAGTAAAGTGAGTACTCCAACTCAGTGAGTAATAATCATAAATAAAGACTGAGCGATAATAAATCACGAAAAGAGCATCAACATGCTGTATGAAAGCAATTTCGAAACCACTGAGAAAGCAATGAAGCTGTAAAATCCCTTAAAACATCTTAGCTCAGTTTAAAAACTCTTTGAAAATGATTTTTCAACAGTTACGCGAATGAATGCTGAACAACTAACGCAGATAAGCACAGAAATCCGCCCATCGGGCACAAATACACAATTAAGCAAGTAAATGACAGGCAAATAAGAAAGATAAACACATAAGGTTCGCCCCTCGGGCATAATATTGACAACTCCGTCCCTCGGGCAATATCTCAGAACAGTACCAGGCCCTCGGGCAATCACATAGAACAATAAAGCCCCTCGGGCAATCACATAGAACAGTACCAGCCCCTCGGGATCACACTGGGTACCCGAGCTCACTGGGGGTATGCAGACTCCGGGAGGGGCCCCTTACGGCCCAAGCGCAATAACAAGCCATCTCGTGGCATCATAAACAGGCTCTCGGCCTCATATCAATATCAAGCCACCTCGTGGCGTACAATCTCAGGCCCTCGGACTCATAATCAAATCAGTGTATCACCGCTGCGGCGTGCAGCCCGATCCCAAAGATATGTATCACCGCTGCGGCGTGCAGCCCAACCCAAAGATATGTATCACCGCTACGGCGTGCAGCCCGATCCCAAAGATATCCTCACAACACAGGTCCTCGGCCTTACTCAGTCAAAAATCGTATAAGCCTCTCGGGCAACAGTAAAACACTATTTTCTCAGCCCGAAACATCATTTAAATATCATTTGAGTATAAAACCAAAGTAAACATGGCTGAATTTCTGAAAACAGTGGAAATAACATGACTGAGTTCAAGTATAAAGTCAAAACAGTGAGGAAACATCAACAACAATCCCCGAAGGGTTCAAATAAC